AACAAAAATCAGATTTTTTTATCCATTCAGATTCTGTCGAACTACATTTTTCTTCTAGTTTCAGCTTTTTCTGCTATTTCAGCTACTACTTAACCGTTTTTATGTTAATTTTTGCCATTTCAGCTAAGTCCAAATTATTTACACTCGTTTAAACTTTTCAGCCTAATTCAGCAAAAATGTGCTCTCTCCTTTTCCTTCTGGTAATGTAAGCTCCTTTCTGCTTTTTTAAGCTACTTTTTAGCTGTGTTGGCAAAATTCAGCTTTTTTTTTCTTCAGATAATTTCCACTTTTTTGTCCCCATTTCTGCTTCTTTCAGCCTTAATGGAGAAACATTTTCTTTCTGCCTTTTTCTGCTAATTTAAGCTTGTGTTACATTTTCAGCTACCTTTTTAACATGTTTTGCTAATTTCAGCTGTTTTCTGATCAATTCAAGTTTTGTGGTACTGTAATTTCTGCTACTTTCAGCCTAATTAACTTTTTTCTGCTAATTTCAGCTTGTTGCTACTAGTTTCAGTTATTTCTGCTATTTCAGCTACTATTTAGCTGTTTTGTGCTAATTGTAGCATTTTCAGCTAATTTCACATTTTTTGCTTATTTCAGCTCTTTCCTCTTCCTTCTGGTAGTTTAAGCATATTCCTGCCTTTTTAGCTACTTTTTAGATTTTTTATTTTTATTTATTTATTGCTAATTTCAGCTTTTTTTTTATCTGACTTCCTGTATTTTGCGCTAATTTCTGCTTATTTAAACCTAATTCGGCAAATACGTGTTCTTTCTGCTTTCTTCTGCTGCTTTAGTCCTGTTCTTCCATTTCAGCTACAATTCAGCAAGTTTTTAGCTAATTTCAGCTGTTTTTCAGCAAGTTCTGCAATAAGCATTTGCACTGCATTTTTGCAGGAAATGCAATTTCTCAAGTTATTTTTAGTGAATATATATTAATCCTTACTTGGTCAGATAATTAGTGGAGTCAACACAATTGGATTAATTTAATAAATAAATTCTGCATTTATTATTAAATTCATTTAACTTATTAAACAACATAGTTTTGTTTTCATGTTATGGTGTTGAGTTATTTATCTGTATTTAGACACAAGTGGTGTAATCGTATTCAACAAAAGTTGTCTATAGTTGTTTTATGAAATCCTGCTTTACCTTTTACAAGCAAATAATTTAATCTAAAACTTGTCATTTCAGGTCTTTAACTGCAAAACTGTTTTCAATTTTGTAAGTTGATTAAAAAAACATTAAGTTTGATTTAAATGTGTCTGAAACTTAATATATATCAAATCTATACTATAAATATATATTTGTATGTATACTCAAGATTTTACTTTAAAATACGTGTCCTGGTCTGGTTGGCAGGTGAAGCTGCAGAGACTTTTGCTGTGGTCCAAACACATTTTAACCAGCACCAATAGAGTCGAACAATGTTTGACCTTCCACCTCACCTGAACCCAACATTCAAGCATCCTCAGGTATTTATCCAGGTGTCGGCAACAGATGTCAGTCAGGGTTCAGCGTTTCCCAGCAACCAGCTGAGACCAGGAAGTGACGTGAGCATCATGGCGCACTGACTTGTTTGCAGATCTGTGTGAGGTTGACTGGACTGGACAGTTAGAAATGTAAATTCTGATTTTGGTGACAGGTTGCATTAAATAAACCTGCAGCTGCGCCTCTAATGGTCCTATTGGAGCTTAGCACCTGGGTCTCCACTCCTCACACCTGAGGATGAGATGATTGAAACCTGCTCAAATGACTATTTGGGACCAAATAAATCCGATTAATATGATTCTATTTTGTTTACCTCTTTAAATAAATGTCTGATCGTTTCAGGCTCCTAACACCACAGCGGTGCCCGGAGACCTTCGTGCGTCAGGTGCTTTGGGTAATAATTGACAGGTTTGGAGAGTTCACAGCGGCTGCCTCAGTCACTGAAAGCCTCCAAGCATGGTCAAGTGAGGGTCGTCTTCCAGAACTGGACCCCCGCGACCAGTAAAGAAACAAACTAAAAACCAAGAACCATGCTTGGTTTTGTCACCATTTTGACACTTGTCTCCCTCCGCGCTGCGGCCGCAAAGCCCAACGCTGGTTTGAAAACGTGGGGGCGCTTCAGCAAACTCCCCTACCCCGGAGACAAGGCGTTCCTGTACGGAACCTTCCCCAAGAACTTCATCTGGGCCGTGGGTACCGCCGCATACCAGGTGGAGGGCGCGTTCGAGAAGGACGGCAAGGGCCTCTCTATCTGGGACACTTTTACGCGCGGCGGGAACCGCATGGCCACGGGGGACGTGGGCAGCGACAGCTACCACAACATCCACGCGGACATCCGCGCCCTCCGTCAGCTGGGGGTCAGCCACTACAGGTTCTCCCTGTCCTGGTCCAGGATTTTCCCCAACGGGACGCGCGGGAGCCTCAACGAGCTCGGCGCCAGCTACTACCGGACGCTGCTGCGCAAGCTGAAGGAGATCCGCGTGCAGCCGGTGGTCACGCTGTACCACTGGGACCTGCCCGAGCTGCTGCAGCACCGCCTGGGCGGCTGGAGCAACCCGGACATGGTGGGGATCTTCAGGGACTACGCTGACTTCTGCTTCCGCGCGTTCGGAGAGGACGTGAAGTTGTGGATCACCGTGGACAACCCGTTCGTCGTGGCGCAGCACGGGTACGGCACCGGGGTGGTCGCGCCCGGGATCAAGACCGACCCTGACCTCCCGTTCAGGGTGGGACATAATTTACTGAAGGTGTGTGCAGAATCTGCATCATTCCGCTTTTAAGGGTTATTTTTTTACAAACTCTTTATTTGGCAACATTTTGTCTATTTTTCTGCTCTATTAAAAAAAAAAAGATAAGTCAGTCAAGTTTTCATACAGTGAGTTAAAATATATTTTTATAATAGCTGAGACTCATAGATATTTCGAGGGCTACCAGATTGTCAATTATATTTGTCTGTTAGCAAAATATCTTATGAAGCACAGGATGGATTTTAATAAAAGTTTCAGAAAGTAATCATTGGATGCACCTTTACAACTGTTTAACTTTTACAGTAACCCAAGTGAAGATGGCTGCTACAACCCCCTGACTTTTGAAAACACAAAAATGAGTATAATTCTGTCAAATTTACTGATATTGATCAAAATCTCTGTGTAGCTGAGATTCAATCACAAAGCTGACTCCAAAAGCTACTCGGCGTACAAGATCGTTGCTTAAAACGTTGGTGTTATTGCTGGAGTAAATCCTATTTGTCTGTTAGCAAAATATGCCATCAACCACTGGACAGATTTTAATGAAACTCACAGAAAGTAATCAATGGATGCACCTTTACAAATTATTAACTTTTGGAGTCTATCCCAATATAAGATAGCCACCACAGCTAGTTAACATGAGTGAACACAAAAATGGTTATAACTCATCCAATTTAACAGATATGGAGTTAAATGAGATGCAGTAGCTGAGAGTCTTTCACAACACATACTCGGAGTGTAGCTTCTATAAAATAAAATTAAAACAAACTGTCATTAACGGTGGCATATGATGTCATTCCTTCGTTTGACAGTTTTGTTTTATTATCTTCTAATGCAAACATATAGTTTAATTTACACTATCATCGTCTCAAAGTGATGTTTCTTCTGCCGCCTCCTGTTTTAAACCAAATCACAAGTTCAGCAGTGAAGGCTGCCTATGGGACAGATCTGGTTGGCAGGTTGTAGACTGAAGAAGTCCTCTGGATGGAGGGCACAACGTTTCTCGCTTAAAGAAACTGGTCCAGATGACACGATTTAACCTTTTTTTGTTCGACTCACTTGTTTCTGCAGGCTCATGCAGCTGCCTGGCACCTCTACAACCGCCACTATCGAGCCCGTCAGCAGGGCCAGGTCTCCATGGCTCTGGCCTCCCACTGGATCAAGCCCAGCCGCACTCGCTTGGAGAGCCTGCGGGAGTGCCAGTGCTCCCTGGACCACGTTTTGGGCTGGTTCGCCCGGCCGCTGTTTGTAGACGGAGACTACCCCTCCTGCATGAAGGAGAGGCTGGGCGCCCGGCTGCCCTCCTTCACCCAGGAGGAGAAGGAGCACGTGAGAGGAACGGCCGACTTCTTCGCACTCTCTCACGGGGCGACCCTGAGCTTTCAGCTCATCAACGACAGCCTGAAGTTTGGGCAACTGGAGGATCTGGACCTGAGGATGCTGCTGTACTGGGTCAGTGCAGAGTACGGCAAGCCGCCAATCTTTGTGGTGCAAAGTGGTTGGTAGGTTTCCAAACTCTGTCATAATCTTATTTTTTGGAGGGGCGGGGGGGATGCTGCCGTTTATGGAGCTACTTGTTCGCTTGACACAGGTACGTCCTCGGTAACACCAAGACAGAAGATCCAAAACACATGTACTACCTCAAGAGGTTCATTGCAGAGACACTAAAATGTGAGTCCCCAGGCGCCAGACAACAATGAAGTCATGTGAAGCGTTATTGTGACATCTTGATGATTAACCTCGTTACGCTCTGTGTGTTGCTCAGCTATCATCATAGACGGAGTAAACGTGATCGGATACACGGCCTGGTCTCTGATCGATGGCTTCGAGTGGCACAGAGAGTATGGCATCCGACGTGGACTGTACTACGTGGACTTCAACACTCCTGACATGAAGAGGGAGCCAAAGACATCTGCCACTTTTTACAGGTATGTGTGTGAGTGCACGTTGGGAAAATATTAGTGGGCGTCTGTTGATAGTGTCCAGAAACTAGAGAAATTATAGTGTGAAGGCTGATCGGCAGGAGAAATATGCAAAAGAAACCAAAACCGAGTTCCATCTGTCTGACTTTTTATTCTGGTTCTTCCTTTGCGTGTCGCGGGACAGAAGGGGCCAAGCTCCAGAAGCCATTGTGTGAGAGGCAGGGGACACCCTGGACAGGTCTCCAGTCGGTCACAGGGACACATAGAGACAAACGAGACAATTGTTCACTGTCAGCCCTACGGACAGAAACTGGAAGTTGGTTCCACAAGAGAGGAGCCTGATAACTGAACGCTTTGCTTCCCGTTCTGCTTTTGGAAACTCTAGGAACCACAAGTAAACCTGCAGTCTGAGAGTCTTAATCGATGCTGTTGTGCATTTTTCTAATTTAGATGCAACGTAGAGTCTGAGATGTAAACAAACCACCAAGGACCACAAGTCAGATTGTCTCGTGTGCCAGTACCAAGCCTGGGTTGAGGATTGTGCCAGGATGGTATCCAGTGTGAAACACTTTTGTCAAAACATGCATGCGGGTTTGTCCAAGAGACACTATACCAAATCGGTCAAAACCTGGGTTAACAATGACGGCCATCAGTGTTATTGACAAACACGGTGCCGGCGGGAATTGTGCTGCTGTTAGTTGAAGAGCGTAAGGAAACATACCAGGAATCTGAGGGAGAAGAGGAAAGTCAAGAATGCAGGACTGAGGGTGGTGATTCTAAATGTGGGGACAATAACAGGCAAAGGTAGTGCACTGGCTGACATGATGCAGAGAAGGAAGGTAGATGTTTTATACGTGTAAGAGACCAAGTGGAAGGGCAGCAAGGCTCGCAGCATTGGAGCAGGTTTTAAACTGTTTTATCTTGAGATAGAAAGAGGAGACAGAACGGGAAGTGACAGAGCTAAAGATACTGACGTTCTCTATGGTAGTGACAAGGATGACGAGAAATAAGATCATCAGAGTTACAGCACAGGTTGAACAACTGGGAGATAAAGTTAGGGAGGCCAGACTGAGATGGTTTGGACATGTCCAGAGGAGGGACAGTGGGTATACTGGTAGAAAGATGTTAGAAATGCAGCTGCCAGGAAAAAGACAAAGAGGAGATATATGGATGCAGTTAGAGAGGACATGGCGGTAGTTGGAGTGAGGACAGAGGATGCAGAGGACAGAGTGAGGTGGAGGACGATGACTCGCTGATGGTTCGCATGGTCGGACCTAATGAACGTGTTGGAACTACCACACTAAGGAGGATGGGTAACTTTCCCAAGTATTAGCAGCACATGGCTGCCTGCTTACCTTGCTTGGGGCAGCTGTGGCTGAGTGGTTAGAGCAGTCGTCCTCCAATGCAAGAGTTGGAGGTTCGATTCCACAAGGAGTAACATGCCAGTGTCCTTGGGCAAGACAATGAACCCCTCATTGTCTACTGTAGTGAACCTAACCTGAAGTAATAAGCCTAAGGTCGAAACACT